TTTTAATTTCGTTGGTATAAGTAGATATAATTGCAGCAAAGTTTTGATATACGAGCGTATATTCAGTTATATATACGCGTTGTTCTAGGGCTGATAGAAAGTGTAATTTGAAACCTGCATGCAAATCTATTTCATATTTTGTCTTGGGTTAAATGTGAAAAATGTTTCTGTTAAAACATAATGAGTACAACTGTAGACTCACGGAATGCACTTTATCCATTCCTTTCTCATGATACAATGTAAGTCTCATCACTATTATGATGACACCTCTTTTTCTGGAGACTTCCCTTTGATGAAATACAGTAAGATATAACAGTTGTTGCAAGTTCCCTGTCTATTTTGTTGTCAATAAAATTTATAGATAGGAAAGGCCCTAAGTAAATGTTAGTACCAGTAATTGTAAAAACTTTTAAGGTGATGACCATCTCATTCGTTCTAAAGATAAATTGTCCTGATCTAAATGTATCCATATAAATTTTTGATCTTCATATTTTAGACAAACATGTTATGTCATTATGCAGTGTAATAATATAACCAAATTGTATACAGTCAGCTTCAGCTGGCCTTAAACTACTATGATGTGTATAAAATGAACAAGTATTTTTTATTTTCAAAGTTAAAGTTCAATATTAATTCACCTTTTATGTGTTTCAAAGGGAATTCATTCATTGAAACATTATTTGTCAATAAAACACCATACTTTGTTGTTACTTGCTAAGCAATTTGTAGCAAGTTTAAATGTGTATTCGACACCTAAAGAAACGCTGGGCAATGGGAATGTTTTCCTGCTAGAGGACACGTGACTGTCATCGTCGAGTGTATACTTATGATTGCAAATATTTTTTTTTCTTCTTTCTTCCTTGCAAGGCTAAATGGAGTCGTATTACTTTGAGCTTTCCAATGTCAATTTCCAATTGGGTTTGAGCGCTATATGTAATGTAGAATTCACGATTCAGATGTTTTATTACTCAAGTAAGTTAAATGATTATATTCTGAAGAAATTACATATGAGTTTATCAAAAGAGCAAACATTTAGAAATAAAAACAGAAGATATCAAATGTCGCAAAACAGATTGGTTGTGAATGAAAGTTCTTTCGTTTAAAGAAATAAAACAGAAAGCCATATATACAAATAGAAAATTTGATATCTCTATTTTCCGCTTTACTAAATGAAACCGAGAATTCCAAAACCATTTATTTGCGACACTAGCATTGTATTTACATGCAATAAACAATTAAACAAAAAACATGAAAACAAATCAGCTGTTGTAGAATTACATAGCTTAAAGTTTTGTACATTGTACAGAAACATTTCTACCTGAAATCAGGTTTTGTTATGGCACTTAAAAGGATTGAATATCACAAACTATTCAAAATAATATTTTTAAGACGGCACTTTTCCTCTGACGACTTATCTAAAAGAAAACAATCACATACTTTTAAGATTGACCATATCTGCAAAATCTATTCATGGTAAAATTATTCAAAGCTGCAAGTCCGAAAATCAAAATGATATCAAAACACAACTACATTTAAATAATTTGTTATGCAAACTTAATGGCATGTAACTTGTGATAAAAACCTACTATGATGTGGAAAACAAATTAATGAAATAGATGTAAGCTTACTTTAACCAATAATAAGGTATGAAATACTTTTTTGTATGAATAAATGCTAACATAACCGACGACAAAATGATGTAATATAATAAATTTCATTTGTTTCTGCCTTAACAGTAATTGGTAGCATGTTCAGCATTGATGTGACGTCTCCATTTTCTCTTGAATTTGGTTACACAATCTGGACATTGTATCAAATCTTTTCCACAATCAGCACAAGTTCACATCAACGTACCAATGTATATGTCGCCCAAAATGTTTAGGGAATGTCACGCTTATATTAAGAGAGTTCTCACATAAGTCGCAATAAAAGCGCAACTTCTAAAGAATTATAAGCACACCCTTTCTAAAGTCAAAGCTTTACAAGCTTCATATTAAATGATTTGTTTTCTTGATGCTTAAATTTTCAACTTGTTAAACAAACTCGTGCGACACAATGTCTCACAAAAATTGCAAGACATTTGTGAAGCTTTGCAAATTGTTTGCGACCCATGAAACTTAAACGCAAGATATTTCAGACAAACATCATATTCCTATTGTCTTGGCACGAATATATCTTTTACTTTGTGAAGAGCAAAATAATTCCGATATGCATTAGAATCCCTACTTAAGACCTTACCCACCGGAATTAAGACCACTCCGCTATTAAGACTATTTTTAAAACAACGGAATTTTCTGTTCTTTATATCATTGATTGCATGATCCAGAATTAAGACTGACCCGCTTATCCACTGTTGAGACAATCAGATTCAGTCCAATCCCAATTCATTGTTTTATTCTTTATTAGTCCCCATTATTCAGGCCACTGATATAAAAGTCAACACCAATCTTATACTTAAATTCGTTGTGATTATCTCTAGCTTGACACTTGATTTCACAAGGTGTCAACAACTGTTGTTACTTGGGTAATTGTATGGAATAAGTCGAGAAAGTAAATTATAGAGTGGTTTAAAGTTGTTGCTTTAAGCACATTTATTTTGTGAAGACATGATTTCTAATTCGATAGTTGAATTCTGTGTATCATATAGTAATTAATATTAATATTGAAATCAGACCAAAGACAATTTAATGTTAAATTTCTTCAAGAATATATTTACTTCTATTAGATTTAATATTATAACATACTTTTAATATACATATTGTTTGTACATACAATATGACTTAAACAAAACATGGTCATAAAGTTTGTAAGCAATAAGAAAATTCACAATTAAGACCACCCAGAAATTAAGACCATTTTGGTTCATTCCCGATGGTGGACTTAATTGAGTGTTTATTACTGTATTTTAATTAAAAAATATATCAACTGCAAAATATCTGCGACTCCGTGTGCCTATATTGCGATAAATCAAGCGAATTGCCTTTTATTTGCATTTTTGCATTTATGTCGTTTTTTTTTTTCATTTACGTAATTTGACGTGGTGACACATGAAAAGAAGTTATCAGTTCCTTGCGAAAGTGAAATCAACTTATACTGATAAACTGCTTGCTAGCCATACTAACTTGCTTGCTTACTGGCCTTAGCTTGGCAACAACTGTCCTTATCAGGGCAACCTCACCTTTTCATATTGTTTGGAGTAGTTGTACGTTTAGGTACTCATTAAACTACTTTCTGCTCAAAATTCATCGCTTTGGATAAAACTTTGCGGTAATTACGTAGGTAAATTATCACTATTTTGTGTTTCTAACTGAACCGTTTAAGTGATCTGATGTTGTCTATACTCGACAGCAAAAGCTGCTTTTTGTGCCTTAACAGACTGATGGACCCTCGATTAACACAAAATACGAATATTCTCGCTTTATTCTTAAATTGATATCTGTCCGAGCAACATTGTACTTTCAATATGGCATGTCGATGTAGAAAAAAATGAAAACCCTTCCCTACACCAATCTCTTACCGCAGAGAAATAACAGAACAACCCCAGCTGCAGAGTCAGCACCATTGGCGTCAACATCAACATACTATAATATGGCGTCTACCAGAGCCAGCATTATAATCCAGTAGAAGCCTTTACCATCGTAGTAGAGGCTGCCTGACTTCGGCGGAGGTTGGTTGTATCCTTACACGTTTGCAATCGTTGCTGCCACAGCAGTGTAGGAAGTTCAATTGCTCGGAGAAACTTCGTCCTCTCTTCTTCTGTTGTTAGAGATTTGAATGCTGCTCCATTCATGTTAATAGCCTGACATATCTCTCCCTCAATTTTATTTTTTATAAAAATCTAGCTTAGGTTAAAAGTGTAAGTCAATCAATACAAAACTTATACTGATAACTAGAAAGGGAAATAACTCTTGCTATAATGAGCTTATCGTCTTGTGAACATAAGTTTGACCATTTGACCCGAGACAAATTAATTTATTTCTTGTCGAAAAAACATAATCTTAGTTACGTGGTGTCATATGAAAACACCCCATTAAATTTTCATGAAAATAAGCATGCAAAAGGGGGGGGGGGACAAGTTCAGCTGCTTTTATTATCTCGATTAAAAAGAGTTATAATCATGATAACGGGAAATTAATATTCGTATATTTTGTAAAAAGTTTAAATAGGTTATTTCCCTTGAATGCTATGTATGTTTTACAGTACTCTGGGACTTATTGAAGTTTTTCTTCTTCAGTTTAAGTAAATAATTACGACCAAAACATTTTTTTAATTTATTTTAAAGTAATGAGAGTAAGGTTTTTAGTTTTATAAATTATACGTTGACCCTTGTGGTATACACAGCAGTCGTGTTTTACGGAAGTATTAGGTTTGAATGATTGATTCAGACGTAAAATTGTTAAATTCGCTATAAGTAATTATTTTAGGAATTTGCAATGTTGAGACGATGGATGAATTATCTGTTTTATCTTTACTGTTTTATTCTTTTTTCAAATATTTGAGTATCTTACACTGTAGAGCATTAAATAAGTATTCAACAAAAATTTAAATGAAACTATGGAAAATTTAAGATATTCATAGTGGCCTTTTATTATAAAAAAGAAACAATACAAGCCTGACTAAAAAATTAAACATTTATCTTGGCAGCAACATATTGTTTTTCTTAATGGTGCATATTATGGCCTCATTGGTCTCCCTTGTTTCAAAATAGCAAAGGTCACAACAATCGTGCATATTTATATTATCCACATTATTGAATTAAATCAATAGGCTACCTTTAAGCAGATTATAATCTTTAAAACGTGATTTGCAACATATGTAATGTCTGTAATCTTAGTGCCTTTAACGGCAAATGCATGCATGTGTAAGCGGGCACAACCAAACATACGCGCGCGCACGATCGCACATACAGACATAAGTAGACACACATACGAGGGGAAGGCAAAGTAGGCAAGAACGACAAGAACGGACACTAGGTTGCAAATAACATAAGAATGTCACGTTTAACTAGATTTATAAAGATAAGCTGGTTACAATGAACTTTGAGCATCTGTAAAATCCACCAAAGAGCATGAAAAATATCTTAATATTCAATAAGCAGTTATGCTAGTCTTTGTGACGTAGAAATCAAATGACGTTATCCGAGCGTGCATAATTCAACATGACTGGCTATTAACATTTACTGATTTAACAAACAATAGATAATGGCAACGTAAAGTTTTTAAGGATTTATATTGACAATCATTAGTGAATGCAGTGTATCACAGTGCTAGTTTTTTGTCGCATATTATACAGTCTTTATCCGACTGTTTTCCTTAGCCAACATTGCAATATTTTCAGCAAAAAAAGTCTTAACTTCATGAGAAAAATTCATTTACCTGAATAAAGAAAATTAAAATTGAAAATGTGATCAAATGTATTGATTTGGTACATGCTGATACATTTCTCAATCAGAAAGTCAGTTTTTTATAATCCAAAAATAAATTACTGCATGCAATAGATTTCGATCGACAATCGGATTCACGTTTTAAGCTGAAGCTGCAAACCCCTTTATAACTTTGGTATACTCATCAACATAGTTACTTATCACATTTTTCCTTTCTGGCGATATTTCTTCTTCGTCCTGAAGTCTTTGATTTAGATCAGCAATCATTACTTCAGCTGATTCAGCCATAACTTTCGTGATTGCCCTTCTTTCACTTAGTCGGCTTAATGGGGGAAAGATTAAGAATAATATATGTTTATTAAGTTTATCAAATATTAACAACAATCATATATCCCAAGGTAATTTTATCGAGCAATAAACAGGAGTTCTTAGTATAAAAAGCGATTAACAGGAACGTAAAATATGAGACTTATGATCAACAGATGCTTTGGATTTCTCCGAATAAATTTGACTTTAGCGAACAAAATCTTTCAAATTACTGTGTGTTTTCGATATACATGTGCACTCAAGTTTATTCTGATACCAATGATTACTTTAGATTGAATGTTTGAAAAAAAGTTCTTTAATACGCACATTACATTTTTGATACATACCATTGTTGAATAATGTCATTGCACATCACGAGAAAAGGCCTCATGATCTTCCAAAACGCATCAAGTATCCAAATAAAGATATTAATGATATGAACACCAATATCTCTGATGAAACCTATTATGGCATTCTTCATCTTTACAAACGCATCTCCAAGCATGGTGATTCTTAAAAATTTAAGGTGTATTTAAACACAATTCATTTCAAAGAAACAAGTTAATATTAACAAGTTATTGTAAGGTTTCATATTCAAAATAATCGGTGTGTTTTGCTCTTTTTAAATTGCCTTTTTAAAGCTATTATTATTCTTTTTAACATCATTAAGAACACCTCTTGACAGAAAATTTGACTGAATCTACATGTTTTATCATGTTTAGTAACTTTTATCTCTTAGGAAAGATTGTTACGTACTTCACAATTAGTTTTATTCAAACCAGTGACTTGAATGCAATTTGAAGTTTCATTAATATTTGAGTATAGGGAATAAATACATGAACTATTATGTCAAAAGATAACAACACAAACATGCATGCTCAATTATATTCATATATTAAAACATTCTAATCAGGTATTCAAATTCTAATGTAACTAAGTTAAACTTTGTTTTAGGAAACATGTGTGATAAATAACACACACTTTTATTTCATAGTTTACAGTGTTTTACTATAATATATGTATAATATATAAATAAATATAAAAATGATAATATTCTGATAAACCACTAGTGAAATTTATAAAAATATAAATTTTACTATATCTGAATGCGGATGAACATTACAAAATGAAATAACAGGCAAAATTTAATACCGTCATACTTAAATTTTTCTTCTTTAGGAAAAGAAAGTCGATGTCAACATACATCATGTTAAAATGTAACAAAATTAGAGACATTCAACAGAACTATTTTTCAAAATTGATAATGTGACGTCATGATGTGATTACGTCATGAAGGAATATGCTCGACGTTATGCAGCAAATTAGTAATAATACTTAAAATCACTTAAAAAGAATTAATTAAAAAGAAAAAAAATATTTGTTTTACATATAAGATTGAAATACATTTTAATCGTGAGCACCAGCTATTCTATTTTCACTAATGGCTTAGCCATTTGTGAAAATATTGCATCTGATGTTCACTCAGTGAAATGTATTTCAATCTTACAGGCAAAAAAAACAACAACAACTAATATCCTCTATATAGATCATTGTCATCTGGTCAAGTTTTAGATAGGTTTGCAAATAAATCTGATTTGTGAACCAAGACATTCTCAAGTAAGATAACTCCTCTAACTCTTATTTTATTAGCATGTTTTTTAAATGACTTGTAAATACATAATTGCAGCGTTGTGTTAATCGTTGATATGGTAAATATGTTTTATACCCTTTATTGTAAAAAACTCTTATAGGATTTTCATCTTGTCTTATCGAATATCTGTCTTAAACAAAATATTATCCGGGAGATATTCTTTTATTGTTTGTCAATACATGTATATGTCTCATTTTGTATACCATATGGTACATTATGCGCCTATCCAATGAACTAATTTATATTTGTTTTTTCGCATATTTATTTGGTTGCTATAGTTTCAACTCTTTTCGGTATATTTATTTAAAATTGTCTGTCCCACTGATTTGAAATATCATCGAAAATCAATAGGTGATTTGCTGACTAAGTGGTAAAAACTAGCTATTAGCAAGTCTACGTAAAACAACAACAGTCAGTGTAGAAAATCTACGAAGCGCAGTTTTTTGTTATTGCTAAATATTTACATTTTAAATTTTGTATATTAAAGGATTATTCTTTTCGAAAAAAAAACAAACAAATTGTCGTCGTCAAATTCAACACTGAGCAGTTTCTATGGATACTTACATATTTCCCATATTTTCTTTTTTGTCTATTATTAACTTTTGAGTTTTCTGAAATCAAAAGGTTATGATTAAAGAAGCTTGTTGTTGGGGTCAAAATAATAAACTTTCACTGTATGTTTTTTAAAAAATCTTTACAATAAATAATTATGTTTACTTACAAAATCAAAACTATTTACAATCAAGTTTAACTTGTTTACATGGCATTCCCTTTCTGGATAACTATTCATCAATATCTTAAATTCGTTATACGAACACTTGTCATCCCCAAAAGAAAAAAACAACAAAAACAATAAAAAATCAAACAAAATCGCACACACATACTCACGCATGCATACATTAAATATAATTTAATTAGGATAAAATAGAGAAAAATAGAATCCCTGAAGAAAGTCCAACACAACACAATTGAAAATATTGCAGGCTCGGTTTAAATTCGTGACGTTCAAAATATGAATTAATAAAGTTGATTTCTTGGAGTCGAAATCGTAATTTCGTAAAGTTGAAATCGTGAATTCACAAAGTTGTAATCATGAAGTTCAAAACGTGCATTCGCAAAGTTAAATTCGTGAAGTTGATAAAGTGAATATGTAAAGTTGAAATGTTGAAATCTAAAATTCTGTATGTTGAAAATGTGAATTAACAAAGATAAATTTTTGAATTCACGAAGATGAAATCGGGAATTCATGAAGTTGATATGACCCCGGGGGTCTTCTGTAGAATACTGTACGAAAAAAATATTGCTTTTTTGTACAAGAACAATATGCATATTAAATGCATGAACTGTTAACCTGTCGTCTTGCTTCTTTATAACAATCAGGAACTCTTTAACATTCATTCAATTGTTTTATTATAATAATGAAAATCTGTATTTTGTTGTCATTTGCCTGTGGTCTATATTGCCATTGATAAATTGATATTGACGTCATGGTTTAATAAGAGTGAATAATGACGAAATATCAAAACATAAACACTTAATTATAATTATAATGTAAATAATAATAATAATAATAATAATAATAATAATAATAATAATAATAATGATAATGATAATAATAATAAGTTTTAACTTAGTTTTAACTAAGAAGAGTTGGAAAGTTAAGTGCCGGTTTGACCTAAACATGAAAATCCAAATAAAATAAGCAAACAATTCATATAATATTAAAACTTGAACCAGCTAGGTACCAAGTACGGCAGAGGGTTAACGTTCGTATAATTGTTTCAGTGTATTATGTATACAAAATGTATGTGCATTTGAGGTATTTAAAGAATGCTGATTCATGTGTTGTTGTTTGTTCAAGACTTTGTTTCGAAAACAAATGAGGTTAAAATTAGTTAAATACATGGAATGAAATTTTCTGATCATTAAGATATAACAATAAAAAAAACACAAAAAAAAAAATGTGAAAAAGGAAAGAATTTAGAAAGAAGGACAGACATTTTTGAACTTTTACCTCTCAGTCAAATTACTACTAACTTTGCAGCCGAACACCACTGTATTAATAAATTCCAAATCCTCCTCTCAGTCAATATGAATAGGTGTTGCAAAACTAACTATTTATGTTATGTTGATACAAACTGACTGGCATTTGAATAATCAATAAAATACATAAAAATGCTCGGGATTCCCAAGTTTTATAATTGCGTGTTCCTATATATTGACACATACAATGACATCGTTGTTACCCATAGTCATTTCACGTGATCAAATACTTTATTGTGTAAAAATATTTCAATAGAAATACTTGAGTCGATGTGGGAGGGGGGGGGGGTAAAAATAAAATCCAGTTTGCAGTTTTAAAGCTACTGGCCTACAGATAATAAAATAAAAAGAATAGTTCAATAAAACAAAAATTTAAGGCACATTTTGCGTATTTAGCGAAAAAAATCGCGTAGTTTTATACCAACGCTATGAATTCGTATGTCGCCCAAATTTGCATGAATGTGGCAAGTTTTTCCTACAAAATATTTCGTAATGTATGTCGCGAGAATATCGTACAACTACCGCACGATACTTATTTGTCTGATTGCGAAATCTTTGTATTTGTGAATTACGCGCGTAATTCATGCAAACATCGCTCGACAGTTACGAAATGCATTTAAGAAAGGAAATCAGACAAAATAAAGGATACTCAAATCTCGAATTTCAGCTATCAGACATCATTCGAGAATGTTCAACCATTGCATGCTAATTTGACAGCAAACGACAATGCCACGTTGAATGATTCAGAATGTCTCATTGCTACTTCTGCGCTTTAAGAAGCCACGACAAAAGCCAGAGAGCGCGGACAAAGATGACCAAGAAATGGAGAAGTGTATGGTGAGAGAATGGCTTTTGATGGGACCCAAGTATGGGATGAACGAAAAGCTAATGCAGCACCTTAGCGAAAGTGATGAAAGGTTATATTTTTGTTTATTTATCCAACATAATGGTGGAAGGTGTAGGTCCGATACAAAAAGATACTTTTGTTGCCCACTAGATTGACATTTGCCATCACCCTCGTGTACCTAGCGACAAGGATTTCGCTGTCATATGGGTTCCGAGTGGTGGCCTACAACACCGTTCCCAAAGTTTTGCGGGAGGATGTTTATGCCATATATGACCACTATCATGATAAAAACAGAAGAGGACAGGATAAAGTAAGTTTATAGCTAAATTGACCTACGCTGCCCACACGCACCCTTGCGTAACTTCTGGTCGTCCCTGTCTTTCCCCTCGTGTGTATGTATACATTGAATCTATGTATAATTGTGTGTGTGTGCGTGCGTGCGTGTGTGTGTGTGCGTGTGTGTGTACGCATGTGTGTGCGAGGGTGTGTCCTACCGTTTGTCTGACTGTGTGTATCCGTCGTTACAGACGCTAAGAGTTCAGACTCCGTCGCCATTATTGACCTTAAAGGTTATAATCTGCCAAAATGTAACCTCATTAATTTTTTAAATGATTCTTACGCAAATGAGACCATTATATGCATCATGAAGAACAATTAGATGCTGCTGACAAAATAAATGATCATATCTTTCGGACGGGCTTGACTGTCTGATAAGGTTTTGCACGAGGTAAAACATCATAATACTTAGTAAAAGTCAGCAAATGATATAGAACAAATCATTTTATTTTGTTTTGCCTTTTAATTGAAAATAGCTTTAGTTAAACGGGGGCATGACTAAATTCTGTATCATGTTTCACAGATATTAACTTAAAAGTACTTAAAACTAAAAAAGTTATAAAATACTTCACTGTTTTTGTTCAGTTTTGGGCCAAGTACCGTCCATATTCTAAAGAATATGTCTGATAATGGGTTGTGAAGAAAAAAGACTAGTATATTTCTTTTAATGGCTTTAACTAAAAAACCTTTTATGAACTTGGATCATATAGGACAGGGCTTATCTAACTTCGATTTTAGGCATTCTTGCGGGCCAACCTCATGTTATATGCTAGCTAAATTCATGGAAAACACAATGAGAACGGTTTGAGATGGGTTTGAGATGATTTTGTGAATATTTTGAGAGAAATTTAGTCGCATGAATTTTTACATTTTTCAACATGTAGAAAATTCAAGCGAAAATGAAACAAGACCTGCGATTCGTGTGAAAACATTTAGAGTTATCGAGACATTTTGGAAACTATCTCGCGAATGCCGTACGCAAATGTTTCTTTCACATTCGCAGCCAAGCGTGAGAGGGGTTTAAGAGATATGTTGATTAAAGGTTCCAACATAAACACATCATTTACCATAAATAATTCATGCACGACGGAATTATGTCCTACAATCATTAAGTGCTCACAAATATAATCAATCCCTTTAAAAAGAAACAATGTAAAATGTTAATGTTTTTTGTCTTAATTCAATGTGTATCATTTATAACTCGATAAATCAGACAAATTAGTTAAATAATTTGTAAAACCCTAAACAATAAGATTCATGCAAATCTAATTTCAACAGTAAATTTATCAATATACTTATATTGTAATTTTAAAAGCACCAATCAAACAATTCAAACTAATTGATACTTGATATCTGTGATCAGAATGGTAACAATTAATATGTAAGCTTACGTGTGCTTATTGTATTTTCTTAGCACTCCAAAAATATCTTTTAACAAGATAAACACATAAATTAAAAAAAAAACAACATGAAATTGCTTTCCGATCACTCGACCGATTTTAGGTATGTGCAATATTTTAAGAACAAATATTGTAAAGACAAACAAATGATAGTCAGCAACTACTAATATTTATGTAATGTTCACTGTAACTCTTATCTTAATATTACCGTACTTTATCCGGATTATGTTATCTGTGCGCCATAATTGTTTGATTTATTGCTGTTATTTGTTAACCTTGAAGTTCGTAAGAACTAAGTGTTTAAATTTATTTACTTTTTATCATTTTACTACTTGTGCATCTCATCTAAATATTATCTCCTGAACTGTCAATATATCCAGAAACTTAAAATAAATTGATCATTCGCATTCACTAACATATAGACAAGCACGATTTAAAACTATCATCGTACTGTAAAATGGTCTTTTCAATGGGGTTCATCGCAGTATCACGAGAGATAGTTCTCATCGATGGTATCAGGGGCGTACCTCGGCTTATTATGAGTGTACGCCGAGTGCCGGTTTAAGGCCGAAAGATCACCAGAGACTTATATATCAAATATAGCTATATGCTATAACTAAGGATTTAGGGGATATTTAAGCTAATTATACTACTATTGTCTTTATCTCTAGTTATGAGAATAATATCAAGTTCATATATTGAATGTAAGAGAAGAAGCACGAAGTCTCACGTGTACACTGTTTTAAAAAGTTTAAAGTTATTTGCTTTTAGAAAAACAAAACATAGCCAGGTGTCTCTCTTGTAAAAAAAAAGATGGATTTTATTTCCTTTTGTAACAAGGTTAGTTTTTTCTTTGTTATTTTTCTTTTGTTTCGTGAGATATAATCAAGGAAAATATGCTTTTAAAATGATCTGTATGACTTTAATACAAACGAGTTATCTTATTTACAGCTAAAATGTAGTATCGCATGATCATTTAGCTTCCTTAAAATATTTTTTAATGCGTATTATGTCAATGTTGTAGACAATAAATAGTTTCTTTAACATTTTTGTTCTCATCTCTAGTCTTCCAATTTCCATTGGAAATATTTAAGTTATTTTATTACGTCACGCACATAAAGCATGCTGGTATAAACGGACTCGCCAATTTGTTATCTAAAGTTGGCGAAAATAAAAGAATTTAGACATAATGTGTCTTATATGGTTAAACATTGTTCTCGTTGTATATTTGTCTATGTTTTAAATATGTATAGATGAGACTACGTATAATAAAGAATATATATATATATATATATATATATATATATAATATATATATATATATATATATATATAGTGTAGTGATATATTTTGTAAATACTGGTATTCTTTTTTACGGTCAAATAAACAAAAGTTGAAAGTGGTTTGTGACGATGGATGTTTGCAATAGTTCACTGCAAAGATCTGATTCACAGTGTCAAAGCTATTATACATAATTTGAAATGAATATAAGTTGAATGAATATTACTGACTTAATAATAATATACTGACTTATAGTTACAAGGTAAAATATCAGCTAATCGATCTACGCCCAAATTAATGATTTCATTTTTGAATTTCTTTTCCGCTTTAATTGATGAGTTGTTTTCTAGCCCTAGAGAACATTCTTGTTTAACCATTAACACATGTATAAAGGCAACGATTTTTTATCTCATACCAGGTAGTAAATAAATGTTTAACATTTGCTACACACCTTACTACTCACTGATAAGGGGAAGTAGCCGTTGTTGTACACTAAACATCTCGCAGTGATTATATCCCATATTAAGGTAGAGAAGTAGAAAAGTCTATAAAGAATGCTAGCTCCTGGGGAATATAGGTACAAAAAACATTGATTGACATTTTTAAAAATGATATTAATTTCCAGGATTATAAATCGCAATAACACTATGTGATGTCTCATTATGTTTTATAGTAAAGTGTTTATCTGTGGTATAATAGAATTAAATATACAAGCTTATATTGTGAACGTACAGCAATGTTTTAAAGTGTTCCCGCACCAGTAAATCTGGGAAAGAAACAAAAAAAAAAAAAAAAAAAAAAAACAGTCATTGTGAGATTATGGATATATTCGTCTATAACCGTGCTTCATAGTTAGATATTTTTACAGCTCGTTTCATTGAGGAACAAGACATCTTACGATAGAATTTGAACATGTGTTACTTTCTCACCAATATCACTATATTGGTAAGTTGATTTCAGCAAAAACAAAAATCAAATATATTCAATTAATAAACATTTGGTTTCCAAAAATGATAAAACTATACACTGTAACTGCATATGGGACTTCAATTTGTGGCCATAAGTCTTTTTCCTGCATAAATGCGTTACAGAAAAACAAAAAGCGATTTTATTTTTTGGGTAGGACAAGCCGCCACATTTAAAACATGATCTATGTGTTAACAGGTGCATAGATTTAACAGAATGAATGTACAGAGAGTAAATTATTAGGTCTGTTTAATTTGTTTAGGCAGAAGCAACCCTGAGAAAGTGATGGCAATTTTATTTTCATCAATGAATTTAAAAGTTAAATT